TTTTTCGCTGGGAAACTTAAAGTAGAAAAAATTTAAGTATGATGAAGATGAGAAAAGACCCCATTTCAAAGTATGGGTTTTTAAAGGCTTTCTCCTCAAACTCACTCACCTTCATCCCCAACTGCACACTTTCACCATTGGAAAAGAAACACAAAGACTGACTGGCAAGTTTTGCTTTTTTTTTTTTTTTTCCTTTCAAAATTTACTTCAAGATTTGTAATGAGATGTTTTCTAATGGACATGTGGAAGAAATTAAATTTGAGATTTTTTTTAATAAAATAAGATGTGACTAAATATAAATCTTAGTCTAGGACATAGTCCAAAAAAGATGAAAAATAATGAAGGAAGACTATTCAGAAGTTAATCCTTTTTTTTTTTCATCCAGGAAGAGAGATGAAAGGGCAAAGTTATAATGTGGGGTAATCTTTATCCAATAATCACAATGCAAATTCTAAAGGGATATGGTGGCCTTCAAAAACACTAAAATTATAAATGCAGATTTTAAAGCACTGTACATTATCCACTTTTAAATTTGCATAAAGAATAAGTACAGGAGTATTGGAAAGTGGTCTGTTTTCATAACCAGCAAAGATTAGAATGTGGTATGGTAACAAGGAGGACAGGAGTTAAATTGACACAAAGAAAGTCTATACCCACTATTAAAATCAATGGAATTTTAACTTTGTATTTAATAAAGTTAACTACAAAGAGAGGGACTGTCAGAAATCTTGGAAAATCTTCATGATGTATTCAACTCTTTTAAAACTCACTTGTTCCTTTCTTTTAAAACATCACTAATGTGTTTAGAGCATCAACACAGTTCATTGTACTTTCAGGGAATTGAGCAAGGATCATATAATAAATTTTTCCTTACAAGTTACCTCTACTAAACTTTTGAAATTAGATTCTGAAATGGAGAAAGCAAGAACAAAGCCTGCTTAAAAAATGAACCCACAACAATTTCCATTTTCACTTAGGAACTAGAAACAAAAGGCCCCCATCGTCGAGAAAAAGTAGGAAATTGGTTGAGGGCTAGTTCCTACACTAATATAGGCTTCTAGAAGTTTTTTGCTGCTACGGTCAGAGCAGGAAACACACTTCTGTCCAAAAACTGCCTCCAGATAACTGCGCTAGTGGAGTTTTTTCCCTTCAGAACAATAAAGACAAGAATACATAGACGTAGAGGTCAAACACAACAAAAGGACATCTTTAAGGGACTGGAAATAATCTAATCAATGAAGATTATTATGCTCAGAAAAAAATCTTTTAAAAAAATCAAGGCAAGTAAATATCTTTCCCAACAAAAGCTAATAAAAGTCATTGCCAGCAGACTGTACTACATTAAATGGTAAAGAAAATTCTTCAGTGAAAACCAATACACTAATGGCAACAATAAAAACAAATATAAAAGACTGCTTCTATTTTTAATCACTTTATAAGATAATTGACTTGCTAAATAAAAAAAAAAACTAGTAACAATGTATTGTGAGATTTATAGCATATGTAGAAGTAAATATATGATAACAATACCACAAATGATGGAATATAGAAATGGTAAATAAATGTGATATGTTCATGGAAAATAAACAATGGAAAGATTCCTAATATCATTAATCATTAGGAAAATAAAAACTAATCCACACCAAATTCCACTATGCACCTACTGGAATGGTTGAAACTCAAGATTGAAAATTCCAAGACTGGCCAGAACTTGGAGCAATCCAATTTCTGATGAAACTTTGAATGATACAGCCACTGCTCAAACTGGTTTGGCAGTTTCTTGTAAAGCCAAATACACTTAGCAAATAATCCAACAATCCCATTTTGGGCATTTACCAAAGAGAAACAGAAACTTTGCAGATGAAAAGAGTTCTGTGTGAACTTTTATAGTCTTGACTCGGGGCAGAAGCAAGGAACTATCTTCTGGGGGCACAAATGAATCAAAGGTGTGAAGTGAGGTTATGAAATTTCCAGGACAAAAAATTACATCAGGAGCTAATTGCCAAAGACCAGAGGGAGCAGGGTGTGTTGGTGGCCTCCAGTCTATGGATGACACAAACACTGGATGGATCCCATGCTATTGTTACAACTTCCAACATGAGCTCTCAATACCCCCTAAGCCCACACAACACAGTCACCATTCTGGAGAAAAGAGTGGGGCAGGACACTGACTTAAAGTTAAATTTCAATCATTTAACAAATAAGCTCTTTAAACTGTAATGAGATTGCTGGAAAAATATGAGAAAAAAATTGCTTTATAGCCAGGCACGGCGGTGCACTATAATCCCAGTGGCTGGGAGGCCGAGACAGGAGGATTGCAAGTTCAAAGCCAGCCTCAGCAAAAGCAAGGTGAGATCCTGTCAGTGAGACCCTATCTCTAAATAAAATACAAAATAGGGCAGGGGATGTATATGGCTCAGTGGTAGAGTGCCCATGAGTTCAATCCCTGGTACCCCCAGCCCCTAAAAAAATTCCTTTATAACATATGTGGGTTTGTGGACTGAGATTTGTGGACCTGTATTAAATTCTTAGTTTAACAGTTAAAATTAAAATTACAATTTCAGAGCACATGCTTGCTTCTCCTACTAATTCAAAGAATATTCAGCAGAATATCTAAAAATCTCTAACTTTTATGAGCAATTTTTATGGGCATCCTATCTAGGTTTTTAAAGACTGATATAGACTAAGCTGCATGATTAGCATAAAAAAATCCAAAAAGTTATAAAACTTTTTAAAACTTTTTAAAACTTTCTCAGTTGTTTAATTTGTGACAGCCAGTCATTTCCAGTTCCTTTACTGGATCTAAAATTTTGATAAAAACAGTTACTGTCACATGTTATGTACTTTAAAAATATAGTTTAAAGGAGGAGAAATTATTTATAAGTCCTATGTGCATATTTTTCTCACTAAAGTTTATTTCATAAAATATATAATCACTTTCCTGGAAGTTTACAGCATGGAAATAGTATTGATGTTTTTATGCAGAGAGAGATATAAATACACCTCGTGTTTTAATAAAAATTATCATTATGCAGAACTTCATTGATTTTCAGTATTGAAGAAAATGGAAATTCTTACTCTAAAAGGTCACACTGTGAGAGCATATTCACAGTGGGATGTCACTTTGTCTGTCTCCTTGTTTTTATATGAGGGGTTTCTTATGATCTTAATATATTTTCAAGTTGTTTTTTCCCTAAAAAGAGGAAGGAAGGAAGGAAGGAAGGGAGGGAGGGAGAGAGAGAAAGAGAGAGAGAAGCCATCAACACCCCTAACAAAGTCACCTAGTTTCCTTGACAATTCTGGGGAGTTGATTCCTGTTCATGGTAATTATTTCCTACTAAGAGTTGAGCTTTACCATTGCCAAATGCATCCTCTTCCACTCACTGTGGACTGAAACAACTTTAGTATCCATGGTCCCCTATCCTCCTGGCCTCTCAAACCCACTCCTCTGCCTGCTTCATGAGTCCCTTGAGTACTGGCTTTTCACCTGGACAGTGTTGTACTTGTCCTTGTCAGCCTTGTTGTTCAGCATGGCTTCAGAACCTGAGTCTCTTCCCAGGACCTCTCCCTGTGTGTCTCTCAGGAAGACCTCCCTCTCTGATCATAATCTCCCTGCTTGCTCAGGCCTCACCTCAGTTTCCCTGGTCCTGGCTCCAGTCTCCCATTCTTTATTAGTATTATTAATTAGAATGTTGACACATTACTATTTTCAATTATTTTTCAAAATTTTCAGTATTAATTAAAGGAAAAAAGCAAACAAAAAAGCATATCATTTGGGCCAAATAATTCTAAGATATTTTTGTTTAAATAGTTGATTTCCATGAAGTTACCTGAATAATTAGTGTTAACATATTGAAAATGATTGGGCTATAAAATATTCAATCTAGTTTTCTTGGGAGATTTTAATAGTGGCACTGAATCACCAGCTATTATCAGCTATTTGGTGATTGGTTATTACATATGAGAGATTTGAGCTTAGAAGATGCTAATAGCAATTTCTTAAAGATGATGTCAACTATTTGTTTATTTAATTTTAATTATGTGTTCGTTGTATAAAATTTACTGCACTCCAAGCAAGCAGATATAGATTCTACCTTTGTAGGTTTATATTCAATTTCAGAAGTTGGTGAAATGACTATCTTATTTTTTGGAAATAAAGTTTTATTGGAAAACAGTTACACCCATTTATTTATGTATTGTTTCTGACTACTTTCAGGTCATGCCTATTGAGTAGCTGTGACAGGTACAACATGACCTTCATAGTCTAAAGAATTTGCAGCTAGGTCTCATCTTTTACAGAAAAAAATGTTACTGGCCCTTTATTGTAACATCACAGATATAATCGCTATGTCACAGGTAAATCAGGAAAGCAATGGAGAAGAGAGTAAGAGACATTTCTGGCATTCATAAAGAGGCCTATTCTGGTTAGACAATGAATGTCCCTGAAGGTACTGTGTTGAATGTATGTCTTTGTTCTTGGAGGTGGGACTTTGTATCTGGCCCTCCAAGTCAAATATATAATGTAAACTAAATTTCAAATGGCTCCCTTCTGGTCTTGCAATGTCCCCTCTGATGTCCACTCACTCCCTGTCCTCTGTCACCAAGACTGCTGGCTTTCCGCCCTAGCATTTCCTGCCCTGTATCTGGGCTCACATTCATCGATTTCATGGCATGGAATGTGTCAGAGTCTGTAAACAAGTCAAAATAACACCTGGCATATTGTCAGGGGAATGTTAGAGTTCGTAAACAAGTCTGGATGGTGCCTGGCAAAATGCCAGAGGGAGTGGTTTGAGAAGTAACAAAAGCGAGCCATTAAGTGTGGAGATTCCTTATTGGTTGACTGATGTATCTAGTTTATGCTAATTAGATAAGCTGTGTGGAATGTATAAATATTGCTCCTGTCCTGTAATAAACGGCTCCCTCTCCTGCTGTATCAATCTATACAAATTATTTGTCACCCCCCCCCCCCCCCCCCCCCCCCCCCCCGGTTATTTTGCTGCAGCCGTACTCCGGCAGGAATGTCTCTTTTCATTCCCATCACCATCAGCCTATGGAACTCCATTCATCTTTCAAGATATATAGAAAAAGTTTTAAGGTGAGAAATTCTTTCCTTATCCTTTAATTTGGAAGTGATTTTTCAGAGGTGTGTGTGTGTGTGTATGTGTGTGTGTGTTTTACCAGGGGTTGAACGCCCAGTGCTGCTCTAACACTGAACTAATCCCTAGCCCTTTTTATTTTATTTTTTGATTTTAAGACAGTCTTGCTTAGTTGCCTAGGTTAACCTGGGACTTGTGATCCTTCTACCTCAGCTTCCCAAGTCACTGGAATTAAAGGCATGCGTTACTATGCCTGGTGACATTTGTCTTCTTTATACACTATTTGCACTTTTGTCTTGTGATATATCACATTTTTAGTATTTATTTGCGCGCGCGCGTGTTTGTGTGTGTACGTGTGTATACAGTAAAGTGCTTGAAGATCTAGGAGGGCAAAGTTTACATTTCATTTGTTTAATGTTTCATGGCATAGTTACCAACCATGAGACAGTAAAGGTGCTATAACTGATTGCTGCTACTTGTTCATTGGTTGTCTGTTGAAGGACTGTGTCCTACCAGAATGTTGACATCATATGAGTAGACCTTGCTTATCTTTTTCATCACTCTGACCCACCTTCTAGAACATCCTAGGTGCTCAATTAAAATTTGCTAAGTGAATTAATGATTAAGAAAATAAATGAAATTACAAACCTGTAGTTTCAGGAGATAACCTTTCCTTCATGCACTAAAGTCACTTTGGTGGTGAATAATAATGCTGATACAGAAGATTTCCAAATTATCTGCAAGATAGCATTTTTATATTATATCCATTTCCTAAAAGTTAGGAAACAGCATGTAAATTCAAAACCACCAGTTCTTCAAATATGAATGTTACTTGATGTATAAGAAGGTATAGCATTCTTCAACATTCATCATTATAAAATAATAGACTTTTTAAAGTTTTTGTACTGATACTGAAATTCAGGGTCCTGGACAACTTTCTAATTATCTACTAATGTTTCCCATGGCCTGATAAATTCTAAGAGGGTGACTATTAATATGCTCCATTATTATTCTTAAGGATAAGACATAATAGACAAGAATTTTCTAGGCAATTATTCTCCGGTGTGGCTAAAAGTTACCTCTCAGATAAAGGAATCATTTATTCATGTAAGAAAAACACCATTTACTGAAAAATGTGTGCTGAAATTTTATCACGACTTAAAACATAAAAAGACATCTTCAGTATACAAATACACATATTATACACAAGAGATCAGGCTTTACAGATGACAAAGGGAAAAGCTTTCTGAGCAGCCATTTGTAATAACAGCTCAGGAAAAGCCAAAGTTTCTACTTCACATTTCCCCTTTATTGCTTGCTCATTTTCTTTGACTTGCTAAATTCACATTTAAATCATATCCATATGTTCTCAGTTTAAACAGCAACCATATTTCTAACATCACCCATTTCCCACCTAGAAAAATGACTCCATGCCAGCTTTGATGCCTCCTTTTATGCTCATGTTTGACAGAGGGTACACACGTAGAATGTGTGTGAAGCAGAGAAAGCTTTAAAATGGCGAGGCGCATTTCACAGTTACTTCCCGTTGGCAGGTGGCAAATGACGGAGATCTCAGGCACTAATCTCAGACAGACATAAGCTTGAATCCTGGCTCAGACAACTCTAGCTATGTGCAGAGTTTTTATTTCAACTCCCATCTATAAAATCGGGGATAACTGTAGTACTGATTTCATAGGGCGGTGGGGAGGGGGATGGTAGGAGATGTTGTATACAGAGCCAAAGACAACTCACATGATACAAAGGGTGCTGGGCACTTTTAAGCACCCCACTCAATGTTCAAAACAGCTTTACAAGATCAGGGCTATTATTATCTCCATTCTCAAATGAAAAAACAGGCATAGAATATTGAGACCTTGTGAGATTTTGGTATGGATGGAATACTTGTATGTATTACTTGAGTAAAAATCTACAGATAATGAACACTACATTGACCCTAGAACTAGGCTGAATACATGATTTTCTAAATTAACCTTCACATCGTCCCTCTGCAACATTACCCTCACCCCCACTTTGCAATGAGGAAATCGAGGTTTGAAGAACTCAAGTTTTATGTCTAAAAGTTCTTGTGCTAGACAGCAGAAAAAGCCAATATACCAACCCAGGTGGTCTGATTTCAAGGAATGAAGAATAACCTATGCAACTGCATAGCAATTCTATCCATTCACCTCAGATCTATATTATTAAATTAGTAAAAGAGAATTGGGTTTGACATAGAGGCACGTTGTGGAATCAAAAGGAAAAGAGCATCCAGAGTGAATTCAATTCAATTTAGTATGCATATATTAATCTTCTAAATAATATTGTTTCAAGCATTTGGGTAATACCAATAATAATACGTCACTGCAAGATGCCATCATTTGTAAACCTGTATGAGTATTTTATTTACAACTAAATAAAAGAGCCCTCAATATGGGGGTGTAATAAGACACCCCCCATTACATTAAGACAAATAACAGATAAGCTGAAAAGAAAATCAAAGGAAGGTTCACTCTCTCTTGGCAGTGGCTGATGGCGGGAAAACAAAATTCACCTGAAACTTTGATGTCAGTACTCAATCTTCCATGTGTTCAGAATATACACTACAAATTGAATTTAAAATGATTTCACATTGGTAGTTTCTGAGAGAAAAAGAAAATGCAACTACTTTCAACTAATGTTCACTGTAATGGGAGACTATAATAATTTTGAATTGTCATTGGTTGTAAAATGCATTCTGATTTCACAGATCTTAAAATGTGAAAATATGCAACTTGGAATGGATGAAAGATGTTATGAGATGATGAGACTTTTTGCCTTAAGAGCGTGGAAACATTTGAGGTCAGGTGATTAACAAGATAGAACAAACTGCAACACAAGTTATTATATCAAAGTGTAAAATGAGTGCGGCAGACGTGGGAAGACATGAGAATTCAAAATTAAACAAATTCTGGGAAGAACAGTGAGGTGGGAAGTCTTTGTGTGAAGGTGGGATTTCATCTGGACCTTGATACTGTGGGTTGGAACGGGGGAGGGGGGGAGGGAAGCTGTAGCAAATAAGGTGTGAAGTCAGAATTAATATTCTTAGGTTGAAAGAAATGAGGTAACTATCCAGATGATGAGCTTGGATTGGGTAGTAATGGCAGGTAAGTTCAGAAAGTCCTGTTAAGAATACAAAATAGGGGCCGGGGTTATGGCTCAGTTGTAGAGTGCTCACCTAGCATGCTTGAGGCACTGGGTTCCCGCCTCAGCACCACATAAATGTAAAATAAAAGATATTGTGTCCACCTAAAACTAAAAAATAAATATTAAAAAAAATTAAAAACTACAAAATAGATGGTCCTGAGGAATGGAATTCCCCTAAGGAATTAAGAATGGAAATATTTTATTCAATTCATGCATTTATTCAGTGAGTACCTGACCAAACAATTGCTCAATCAACAAGCATTAAGCAGCTGTTACATGTCAGACACGTATAGCTTATTTGGGTTAAAGTGATGAATGATTACAGTATTTTGTACTCTAAATTAGACTTTAGTGGAACAGAAAAAAATTGGGATAATATCACAATATGTCTTCATAATTCCTGCAATTTAATGAGCAATTATGATTTTCCTAGGCACTAGCTAGGTAATTTATGTTATATCTTTTGTTTCTTCCTCTTTTTAATATTATCTGTTGTATTTCAAAACAGAGGTATATTTATTTTAGAGATCAGAAACCTTAGACTAAGAAACATGGAGACTTTTCTGCACCTCTTAACACCTCCCTAAAAATGAACCCTATTACTTATGATATAGCCTTGATTAAAAAGTTATGCAAAGCCACAATCATAAAATAATGAAAATCCTGGGAAAAGAATTTGTAATTTCTTTAAAATAACCAAGAAAGTTGTATTTTGTTACTAAGAAAAATACATTGAGTAATGAACTTTGGAGTCAATTAATACACTGCTACTCTGAGGTAAAATGTTACAAAGTTATACTGGAAACTTAGCTAAGGCATGGCAAACCAGTAATGTAAGGGAGTCTTCACAGAAAACTACTAATATGTTAACATTAATGTCAATATCAGTAGTTACATTATGGTAGAGTCATGTAGTCATACATGGGAAGAAGAAGTGCTATTGTTTGGGTGAGTGTCCCCTAAAGGCTCTTGTGTTGAAGGCTTTGTGGCCAGCCTGTGGTGCTATTGGGAGATGGTGGAACCATTAAGGCATGGGACCAAGTGGGAAGGAGGAAGGCCACTGGGCACGTACCCTTGAAAGGTATCTTGGAAACCCAATCCCTTTCTGCCTCTTTTCTTCCCAACCAGTGAACATGTTTTCTCTACCACACACTCTGCCATCACTGCCTTGCACAGGTCCAAAGGCAACAAGGACTGAAATCTCCAAAACTGTGAGTCAAAACAAACCTTTGCTCTTTTTAAGTTGATTACCTCAGATATGTTGCTATAGTAGTGGAACACTGACTAACCACAATTTTACCTTAAGTTTAGCGAAAGCTAAAGCTGTGGTGTGAATCTCAAAGTCCTCCCACTACTACCACTGAAGACAGAAATGTTTCTTTCCTTTTGGCACAAGGACTGTCACATCTCAGCTGCATCTCTTTCTAGGGCTATCTTTCCAAGAAAAGAGTTATGACCCAAGATTATATCTACTTTCTAGGTGCAGACCATATGCAACAACAGTTCATGAGAGCTATGAAGACATATTACCCATATCCCCATTCATATCAACTCTGAAGTATCATCTTTTGTGTAGAATGACTGAATTCATTTTAGATTCTTCATAATAGAATAATGCCCATCCAAATATATCTATGGCCTAATCCCCTGAACCTGTGAATATATAAGGTTAAATGGAAAAAGGGAATTGCATATGGAGTAGGATTGCTGATCAGCTATCTTCAAGATGGAGATGTAATTGTGGATTGCCTGGAAGAAACTAATAATAAGCACAAGATCCCCTAAAGGTTAAAAAAAAAGGAAACAGGAGATGAAGTGACAAACTCTGAGACAGACTTGATGCATCATTACTGGCTTCAAAGATGGAAGAATGGGATAAGAACCAAGGAATGTGGGCTATCTCTAGAAGCTGGAAAAGAAAGAAAATGGACTTTCTTTGGGGGATTTCTAGAGGGAAACTCATTTTGGAAGACACCTTGATTTCAATTAGGTGAGACCAGTGTTGGAATTTTAATCCATAGCACTGTAAAATGATGAATGTGTGTGTTGTTTTGTGGGGTGTTTTTGGCCATATTGTTCGTGGTAATTTGCTACAACAGCAAATTATCTCTCTTTGACCATGTTGGCTTCCTTCTTTCCCACAGGGATGTTGATTCTGAATGTATTTCCTAGTCAACTTCATGCAATGAATCTCCATCTCAAAGTTCTTGTTCACGTGGCACGTGACCTATAATAACACTGCCAAACATTTGTCTCCTTAATATGTTTCCACTTGTAATACAGATCTCCTGTTCACCTAATCATGAGTGGCACTTCTGAGACAATTATATCAGCTGAAAAACACAAGAGAGTTGAAGTTTTGTTTGCAAATTTGCAGTCTGAATAGAGCATGTCAGACTATGAGGGACCATGGTCAAGAGTGTGACTGTAATGCATTGTGAGTCAGGTGAATCACAGGCTGCTATGCTTTGAATGTTTGTGTTCCTTCCAAAATTCATGTTGAAACTTAAAACTCAATGTTTTGTCATCATTAAGAAGTGGGGCTGTTAGGAGGTGATTAAGTCATGAGTCTCTGCCCTCATGGATGGGGGTATTAACCTTGGCTAAGGGCTGAAAGTAACTAGATAGACCCCCTTTGCCCTCTGTCCCTTTTGTCATGTGAGGACATAGCACTTAAGATGCCATCTTGGAATCAGGAACCAGGTCTTTACCACAAAGCAAATCTGCCAGCACCTTGATCTTAGGTTTACCAGCCTTCAGAAATGTTAACAATAAATTTCTGTTATTTATAAATTACTCAGATCAGACAATCGTATTTTGTCATAGAATTAGAAAAGGGCTAAGACAGAGACCTAGATCAATCAGGGTAGCCCAGGCAAACACTATAGGTCATGTCAGCGAGGGAGTCTTTGAGAAGAATCTCTGAGCCATGTTTTAGGAATCTAGCCCAGCATACTGGAAGACAGAGAATCCAGAACCAGAGGGCCCAGTCATCGGTCATCGAGATTCCTGAGCCTTTTCCCATTCTGATGCAGATAGCATGAGCCTCCTCTCCTACTTGAAAAGCTTTTTCAGAGCATAATTTCCAAATAACAGCAGGAAAACGTGTTTTTTTTTTTTTTTTTTTTGTGTGTGTGTGTGGGGGGGTGTTTTAAAGCAAATAAAGCTATTAGGGAAGGCAAAAGGAATCATAATTTCAAGCAATTTCTCATTTCTAATTGAAAAACAAAACCAAAATAATGAGGCCCAGATGCATGATTGAATGTCATCATGTAAGTAAAGGAAAAGCAAAATGTGTTCCTCACTATCACCTGTCAATGCAACATACAGTGTGCAAGGATAGAGGGGATATAAGCTCCTATTACTGTCACTGGGGCTGCACCTGGGACCTGAGAGACACAGCAAATGCATTAGGTACAAAATGTGTTCATTTGAGCTTTTTTTCTTAAGATGTCATGAAGCCTTTTCACATGAGTCAGTATATGAAGCACACAGCCTGCTGCAGTATCTTGAACAGAATTACTCTGGTGCCAAATGGACCATGGTGATAACCTAACTACCTTGATCCATGTTGTGAATTGATCTGAAGATTCAAATTATCCCAGCTCCTGAGAGTGCAATAGTGACTGTGACATTTGCTCAAGGAGGTCCAGAGTGAGGGATTTCTGATTCATACAGAGATTTTCTTCTTCAGGATCCCTAATTACAGCATTTCTCATTCTTTGTTCTATTGTACTGATGCTATCTAGTAGACTCAGAGTTATGGTTCAAATATTTATTATTATTATATTATTATTATGTGTATGTGTGTGTATGTGTGTGTATGAGAGAGAGAGAGAGAGAGAGAGAGAGAGAGAGAGAGAGAGAGAGAGAGAGAGAGAGACTTTTTAATTGAACTCTGAGAATTGTGAAGTTTGTATTGTTAGGTACCAGATTTTGTTTTTCTCTTTTAGACAAATTGAGCATTGATCTTTTTTTGCAGTTCTTTGTAACCATTTAGTCTCTTGAAAGCCAGTTTATGAGCATTGTTAGGGCCAATCCAGAGGTATTTGGGGGGATAATTTTGCTTCCCTATTAAAATAATTCTCTACTAAGGACTCTTTCAAGTATTTCTTTATTTTGAAATCTTTGTACTCTGACTGGTTGGAAAACAACGATTCCCAGCCCTGTGTGAGCTCCCAGCCCTGTGTGAGCTCTGACAATTGTTTTTTTTGTTTTTTTTTTTTTTTGCTTTCTGTTGGTTCTTAGCTTCACAGGACCAAAGCCAACATGGAACAGTACACCTCTGGAGGTCTTTTTGTCTTTCTGTCTGTCTGTCTGTCTGTCTGTCTCTCTCTCTCTCCCTGGTTCTCACTCCTATTCTGATCTCTATGCTCACCTCTCCCTGTAGCTACCTCCCTTACTCTATTCTATTCTAGTTGCCCTGGACTCTCTGAACTCCCATCTCTTGTCTTTGAACTAATGGAGAATTCTGCTGTCTGCTTCAGTTCCACAGTTCTGCCCTGTGGCCTAGGAGCAGCCTCTGGGAAGTAAACTTCAGGGGAAATTAGAGTGCTGGTCTCATTTGTTTCACCACTAAGGCCACATCCCTCACCATTACTCAACCTCATTTAATAAGCTGTCTTGATCATAGGTGTTTCAGCTTTCCCCCCCACTGGCTTGTTTTACCATCATGGTGTATCTTCTTTTTCCGTATAAATTATGTTAACAGAGGGAACAAAAGAAATGCTTACTATGATGAATGAATACAGTTGACATAATTAAGAATTTTAATTTTCCTCAGCTATCAAGACTTTGACACTTTAATAATTTTGGAAGTAGTGGGAGAACACATAGCCAATTTTACTATGTCCTCCTAGCTCTTACCTGAAGAAAGGAGGTTGATGTTCGAATTATGACTACATGGTGTTGAACCTTATTTCTATTACTACTTAAATGTTTGACCTTGAACAAGCTGCAGGGATCTCTGATGGTAAGTGCCTTCTACTTTAAATAATAATACTTTTGACCTCACTTCTACTTATGCAAGACAATGTAGGTCAAATGCCTCACTCTACACAAGTTGTCCTTAATCAGCTAGTTACCATCTTTTAAAGAATTAAGCAGAAAATGTTAGTGATAAAGTCTGTTGCATGGTATATAGGAGAAGCAGTAAGATTATACTCAATTAGATTGGGTCTGATACATAATAGGGAAAGGAAAAATAACTATTTTTTCATGAATACAAAGCTCCAGTGCCATAAGATTAGATTGAGGATATCTATTTAAAGACAGAATGAGTCATTCAAAAAAAGAATATTTTCAACAACAAAGCAGAGATACTGTGCCAGAATTGAGCATCACCCATCTGATCCTTGTTCCAGAAAGAAGATATCCAGATTGAGATGAGCTAGGCATGTGACTTTAGCAACCAGATGGTACTAAATACTTAAATCATAAAACTAGTTACCCTGTTCTAGTTCCACACGTAAGAAGCAACATTTGAATGATAATTGGGCTATTCCTGTAGCTTGTGTATGTGTGTGGGGGGCGGGGTATGTGTTCACAGGGGTGAAGTACTTGGCCTGCTTGACCGCTAACCTTTCTGGTTTTTTAAATAAATTGGATTTTTGAGTAATCCATTAATGTTAAATGAGCAAAGTTAGCATGGATCTTGCTCTAATAGCTCTGGAGCACTCAGAATATAAAAACCATGAGTCATTATGGGAAAGAAACTAGAATAAGCAAGTTCAATGCAAGCTAATAGCTCCAGATAATGATCTATTCTTGGGCATGCAACTCATTCTAGTCAATACTTTATGGCTCCGAGTGGAGGGAAACAGATAGATATAAATGGAGTTTCATAAATAAAATAGAGTTTAGAAGATAATATCCAAGTGTCATAATTGAAAGAAGTAAGAAGAAAAGAGAAAAGAGAATTTGACGACAGAAGTTAAAATTTCAATTCTTATCCTAAAATAACTTTATTGTTCAGTTATCCTTATCAGATATAACAAAGTTAATTTGTTTTGCATTTTAGATTTTGCAAAGCAGAATATTGGGATCTAGGTAGAAAACACCTACAAATGATCCTTAGCAGAGATGAAAAAGGAGAAGAGATAGGTTTGTGTTGTATGGCTCATAACTCTGAATTTGATGGCCTTTATATTGATTACAACTCTAGAAATATTAAAAATAGTTATGTTCTTGCCATATCGAGCTTCTACCAATCTACTCCATTATGAAGTACAGTTTGGTTGGTTCTAATCACAAGCCCTGATTACTAAGGTGATGGCTAGTGAAGACCAACCTTATATGATATACCAAATTGTCATTCTTATTCCATATGTTGTCACAAATAGCAGCATAATGGAGGATAACTGGATCTTTGGTGCTTATGAGTGAAGCTTCCTCTTCACCCTCTCTCTTTACAATAACTCCTGATTTTCTTTTGGAGATTCATGTGCATCTGGGAAGGCTGGGTTCATCTATCATTTTTGCATGGGTGGAACAACTGATGTAAGACTTGCATGCAGTTTATCTCATTACTTTGGCTAAATTGTTTGTTCTACTTGGAACTGTGATTTAATCCTGTTCAATAGGAGGGGGCACCCATATTTTGCTTAGAACTGTGGTACATGGGCCCATAACCCTCATCCTAGTGATACAGGATACAGATGCAAGAGTGCTAGGACTGTTGAATCAACTTTGGTAACAACAATATAAAGAACAACAACAGCTAGGTTTAATCCCCAGCACCACAAAAACAAACAAACAAAACAGAAAAACAAACTAGAAAGACAGAGATAAAACTCCAGTGATATAATCTTAGGGATCAAGTCTTGTCTAGTGGTGGACTTATCTTTGTTCCTCTTGTTATATAAGTTAATTTGTTTTTATTTATTGTTCAGTTTAGGTAACTTGATTTTTTGATGTTGTCTCTGACATAAGGTATTAATGACAGTACAAAAATATACCATACAGTTTCATTATGAATCAAGATTTATTTTATCTAATTTTTAAATAAAATCATTCAAAAATGTATAGAAAATTTTGAGCCCATACTAATCTTTAAAATCATAATTTTACTGAAAAATACTTTTAGAAAACATTCTAACAGTTTGACCATTCTTCTAATCAGAAGTGTTAACTTATCTGTCAACATCAAGTCAATTAAATCTTGTTATTAAAATTTCAGTCTTGTGGAGTTTAATCTTCAACCACTTTAAAGAGCACATACTATGCTCTTAGGCATAAATTGATTCAATAAAAGTACAAAGGCTCTCAAAAACCTGAAAAAATCAAAATCAAAAACAATTCTATCAAGGAATGTGGGATAAGAGGAAATCTTGCATTTGGTCGTATTCTGGTTAAATTCTCTCTGAATTTCTCATTTAAATATAACATTTCAAAAAAAGCTTTTTTGTGTGTGTGCCAGGAATTGAACCCAGGGTCATTTAATCACTAAGCCACATCCTCAGTCATTTTTGTATTTTATTTTAAGACAGGGTCTTGCTAAGTTGCTTAGGGCTTCACTAAATTGCTGAGGCTGGCTTTGAACTTGTGAACATCCTGTCTCAGCAGCCTGAGCCACTGAGATTACAGGAATGTGCCACTGCACCAGCAACATTTCAAATTTATGAGAGTAAACAATTAAAATAAAGATGAAAGTGTCAAAGAAAGCATGGTTTGTATCCTAAGACACTATATAAACTTTTTTATTCTCTAGTACCCATTATATCATGTTTACATTATTCACAACCTTAATAGTTCAATTTTTGAGAATAGGGTCCTACTAGTATTTTTCTATAAGCTTTAGAATCATGGCACAAGAAACAGGTAGGATTCTCTCTCTCTCTCTCCCTCTTACACACGCGCGTGCTCGCACACACACACAAATAAATTCTGACTTAAGTGAAAGGTATTTGTGAGAAAAGATATTAGGATATATTCACATGATCTAAATTGTGGGATCTCACAGAATTGACGTGAGGCTAACATAGGAGGAAAAATCCAGTGGAGAAATAAAGGAATACTGAAACATGCATACAATAGGAAAGATAAGCACAAAATCCACCTCTAAACATTAATAGCTAATAGCCTGCTGGGAATCCCTACCCTCTACCAGAGAGATGAACACCTCCAACCTTCTGCTCTCACCACTTCACATGGCCAAGATGCAAATTCCCAGGAGATATGGATCATGTGGCCAAATGCAGAGAAACAAAGAACCTAGTGGCTTATGATTGTATTTCTGTGATGAGAAAGACATCTGGAGTTGCTCTCCTCAAAGAAAACTAGGATACTAGTTTTCTTAGTAGGATACTACTAAGAGGGTCATGAACTGTATCCAGATAGAACAGTGTAGCAAGCAGGCAACTATACTTGCTTTAGAAAACATTCCAAAGTAATTATTCATAGCTTTTCATATAGACCAAGGATATTAAAGGAGTTGACAGTATGATTATTGTCATTTTGTATTGTTTTGTAGTTAGTTAGAAAGTTAAATGTTTCTAGCATTATATATCATATAAAATGCCACAAATCTCCTGGACACAATTTTAAGAAATAAAGAACTTAGAGATAATATCTGTTACCATACTGGGTAACTGTGCAACAT